CACAAGGATGTCATCCATGTATACTAAGCATATTTTGTTTTTTTATCCACTTAATATTAAATGTGCGCAACGTTGGAATGTGGCAGCCGAATTACAAAGACCCATAGCGAGACGATTGAACTCATAATGCCCCGAAGGAGTACTGAACCCAGTTTTCTCTTTTGAATCCGGGCTCAGCGGCAATTGCCAATAACCACTCAATGTGTCCATCGCGGAATAATATTTAGTCTTGCCTAACAGGCTCAATGATTCCTGGATCAACGGTAAGGGGTATGGGTCTATCTTCGTCACTTTATTTAGTTGTCTATAGTCCACCACAAATCGATAACTTGAATCAGATTTCTTGACCAATAATGCCGGTGCTGACCATGGGGAGCTTGAGGGTTCAACTACCCCACTTTCCATCATGTTCTCTATTAATTTATCCATAATTTCTCGCTGTGCATATGGAATGCGATACGGAGCTCTATAGAGTGGGGGACTATCACCTGTATCTATCTTATGCTCGGTCAAATTGCAATATCCCAAGTCAAAATCGTCCTTAGCAAACACCTGTCTGTATTTATACAACAAGTCCAGCAAAGGAGTCAACTTGTCCTTCCCCACTTCACTTAAATCGAATAGATTAGCTACCTGCGCTCTAGTCAGCTCTTTTTCATTGGATTGCAATGCATTGTTTCGTTCTCCCATTTCCTTTGTTTCTTCTTCCGCCTTAAAAAAGGTACCTATCTTATTTCCCCTATTTAATTTTATAGGTTGAGTGGACACATTCATAATCCTAATCGGTATTTTACCGCGATGTTGTGTTTTCACTAAGACACCTGCGATAAACGCTCCTTCTCTATCCAAAGTGTAAGGTTCCACTACGCCTACTTGGTCAACGACTTCTCCTCTCACGTTTCCTTCCACAATGACTTCCGATCGCGGAGGAACTACGCAATCGTTTAACAACGTGACATCACTCCGAGTGTCATCTTTCCTTTTGTTTTTTCTAACTGTTGCTCTGTGGTTTCGAGTTTCTAAACTACTTCTCTGTTTATTTATCTGCGCTCGGTTTCCTTTCCTCTTTCTTTTATATTTGTTACTTTTAGTAAACTTGTTCCGCTCTTCGCTAACTTTGTCTAAACTGGGCGAATTTTCTTCGAACCTACCGCATTGATTCCTTTCCTTCTGTCTATTATCCTGTGTTTCTAATCTATGCGGATTACTAAGGTTGTGATGAAAACTTGCTAATCCCCAGAAGGTTATCTCATCTCCCGTTGGGAATATTAACTTCGCGTTTTTAACGGAAATGGTTATATCATATTTCTCAATTATATCCCTTCCTAAAATTCCCTCATTTGGTTCGGTTATTTTAGGGTCTACCACATAACATTCATGCAAAAACTTTAGATTACCTATTTTAAAATTTAGGATATATTTCCCCATTGTTTCTATCTCATGACCGGTTACGCTTATTAAATCTAAAGCACTCGTTTGCGCTTTCGGCAATTTGCCTAAATCTTGGAAGATCGATCTAGATACTAATGTAACGGCTGCGCCCGTATCTATCGTAAGTCGCGTTCTTTTGTCTTCTATTTCGCAGATTAAGGTGCAAGGCGGTAAATCTCGCGGAGAATCCTCGCTCTTAGATCTACCGATTCCTGCCAACGGGATCGCATCGCATCCCTCGTTTCTTACATATTCTAAATCGCGTGGTTGTTCTCTGATTTTAACCGAAATAACTCTATCGCCGCGATTCCCTTTCGAATTATCTCGATTTCCTTCTCTCTGATAATCTACTTGCTTGAAGCTTCCCTCTGGACTGGGTAAAACTAAGCATTTGCTGTCGGGGTCGCCGATCGGTGTTCGCTGAGTCGCGTAACTCCCTTCTGGCCAGTCTTGACCGTAACATGCTGCAAAACAAGGCATTTGATCCCAATTTTGGTCATTTCTTCGTTCTAACGGCCTATACTGTGCCTGGTAAGAAGGTGCACGACCCATATACTGTAAATACGAAAATGGTGCTATCGGGGTCTGTCTCCTTGACACAGACAGATCGCACTGATTAAATTCCGGCCATAGCTGATATGGCTGGACGAAAGGCAAGGGTCCTTCCCTGTCTATTTGTCTATTGGGTAAGGGATTCGGTCTGCGGTATTGCCAAAAGGGCGCTTGATTATAATACCTCGCGGGAGTTTGTGTAGCCGATCGCTCCCTCGGCGGTCTATTAAAATTCGTGGGCGGCGGTTGACGCTGCCCGCTCGCATAATTCTGCGCTTTTCCTCTTTCGAAATTGGTTCTTGTGGAGGATTGGGGGTTTCGCCTAAATTGCGTGCATCCCTGCTTTCGTGGGTTACTTATCGGTCCCTTTGAGGACTGATTCTCGATTTGTTTTCCCAACTTTTCAAGTTGCCGCGTAATTTGATTAATTTTCGCGTCAAGCGTGGGTTCCTGGTTTATGTTTTTGTTCTCCCCTTTTGCTGCGTTATTTTCCTGCTTTTCCTCTACACCCGCAACAAAATTCCTATTCTTCCTGTCAGCTGTTCGATTGTTTCCTCTCTTATCGCTACTCTCAACGCTTCTGAAAACGTAGCTGGGTCTTGTGCCATAACGTTCCGCTTATGCTTCTCGTTCAGCCCATATAAAAATTGAACGCGAAGCTTTTCATCCAGCTCCCGTTGCTGACATTGTCTGATGATTGCGCGCTCCTGTTCTGTCGTTCCCGTGTGTTCGATCGTCGTGGCGTTGGCTAGAGTTTGTAGTCTGACCACAAACTCCTGAACATTTTCCTCGCGCCGCTGGACGCAAGCGTGGAATTTCTGCACTCGCATCGAATACAGTACGCGATCGAATCTCTCCACCATTAACAGCTTAAACTCGTCGTATTCCCCGACGCTTTTTTTCATGTGCATGTCTCTCCATGCGAAATCTCTGGCAACGCCTGCCAATTTACATTTTGCAATGCTTAAAGTCTGTCGCTTAGTCCATCCCGCTAGCCCAGCTACTTCATCCAATGTATCGAAAAAGTCGGTGACGCGCCCGCTTTCACCATTGAAGGTGGGAATCATTCCCCCTAACGCCGCGATTGAACCTCCGCCTACCTTATGCGTTTGCGATGGGGCAGATGGGGCGCCTGTCTCAGTGGCCATGTTCTTACGCACCTTTCTTCCTCACTCCCACAATTTCGTATCGGCTTCCTCGAGATCCTGGCGGACGGTATTACTACCTTTTCTCACCAGTGTAACGTTGGGCACAACAATCCCACCCCTGACACCACTGTGAGGTCAGCCGATTAGGGGTGAGGTGTTTTTCGACAGCCGAGCGGTTCTTTCTGTCGTGTGGGCGCAGACTGACTGCCTGAGACAGGTTTACCATGTAACCGTTTATTAAACATAGAAATTTTCCTTACAAATTACTTGTTAGACGAGGTAGCACTCCAAAGCGCACGGATAAAGTTCGAAATAAAGTTCGTAAAAGTCGGTTTTCGTCACTAGTGGATGGACGCTGTCGGTGAAACACTCGGTGGGCCCCGGGGCGTTGATTACGGCTTTCGGCGGCTTCTCGCGGACGATCCGACGAATCTGTCGATTGCTAGGAGCACCCAGAGAACGATGCTTCC